ATCACTAAATAGATGCTTAATGACAGTTTCTTTAGCATGCTGCTGGATATCTTGAACAATCTCTTCCATGGAAATCACTAGAGTTCACAACATTTTGGCCTACACCTGCTGCTTTTAAATCAGAAATTACAGCTGCACAACTATTTACAAGGTTTGCTGAAGATAATTCTGACTCAGCCTCTAAATATTCAGATGACGCATCAACATCAGTGGCATCACTTGTGTCAAGAACATTTTGACAAGATGTAAAATCACCTTCTTCTACAGACTCAAATGAACCGCTAACATGGCACTTGTTCAGATGTTTCCTAAAGCCAGAAAAGCTACCAAAAGAACGTGAACATCCCACTTGGCCACATTTAAGATCAAGAGTCTTGCCAGGACAGAGTCCATGAATTACTTTAAGGTGCTTTAGAAGGCTGTTTGGTCTACCCTGGTCACTTTTGCAAAGAAAACACTTCATTGTTTGATCTCACCGGATGCTAACGCACCATTCTTGCTCGCAACTCTGCAACTCTGGGAGTTTCCTTTGTTTTCCCAACGTCAATGTTAGAAATGGACGTTTGCAGGAAAGTGAAAAGGTTGGGCAGGGGAGAACTGTATGATGTACCAAAGACATAATGGGCCTTAAAGAGTTCGTCAAGGGCTCCCACTGAACCGGTCGCCTTACATGGAAGTGCATGCTTGTCAATCACGATGGAGAAGGTGTGAATGCAGCTTCTTGTGGGTCCCTGAGCGAGAAGGTAGGGCTGCCTGCTTTGAGTGATGTTGTCTAGATGCTGCTGTACACTGGTTCCAGCCTACAACACACACACAACAGTAGTATTTAGTGACCAATCTCTGACAGTAGATCAGATCATCTCAAACTGCATGAAAATTAGGTGATGGAAAGTATATTTAAACAGCTGTTCAGCATACTTTAAGGAATCTGACGAGGTGATCTACAGCTTGAGATGCAGACATCTTTCCTGGCCTCTTTCGTCCTTGCGCAGATGGGGGTAGCAGATGTAGCAGCAGCAAGATGGCAGACATGTCACTTTCCTAGCCTACAGACCACAAACATCAGGTTAACATTATTAAATTGGCACAATTACCTTTATAACCAACAACAGAAATTAAAAACAGTTCCAGTCATACCATTCTCAACGTCAGCAGCTGACTCAGCATTGCGCATTAAATCCAAGAGCTCTGTGGTGGGTACCAGTCCATGGCTTTCCTTTATAACTTTTGCTTTGAGAATGGTGGGCCACCTTTCCAAGAATTTGTTGGCAGTGACCTCGCCAAATAGGAGCCTGAAATCTTGTTCTATCTGTAATGCAAAAATACAGTGCACAGAAAGGAGTGATAAGTGACACTGCATGCTGCATGGGCCATTTCAGTGATTCAACTAATGAAAAGGTCTTACCAGTCCTGGTGTGTCCAGAAACCGCGGGAAGACTGAGAAGACATCTGCTGCTTTCTTTTCATCGTTGACCATTGAATGACGATAACTGAAGATAGCTTTCATCTTCTCACGGACAGTGTCTTCATCAGCAGAGTGTCTAAAAATTGCAATAGCTGCTTCCACATCCTCATCAGATAACACTTTGTCAGCGGTGAAGGGTCTGGGTTGATTATGGCCTGGCCCACCATCTTAAGACAAAACACAATGTTATTGACTCCTGCCTACACATTTCAACAAAATTGTATGTAACTGATAAGTAAACTTACTTTTGGGAGATTTGCTAACTGAGGCACCTCTTTCTTCTGTATTTTTTCTTTGAATGGTCTTTAACCGCCATGCAAGGTATCCCGAACCACTCTCTGGATTGTAGTAATGTTCCTATGTAATTAAATACATGCATACTGAATATGCTATCAACATTTCTAAGGGCAATTATGTGTTTAATGTTGTAAGGACCCTTTTACTTACATATCCATGTTGTGAATATGGGTCTTCCAGATATGAAAACAGAGCAACTATCCCCTGTGCATACATCATACTCTGACACTTTATGTATGCATTAAATGATGACCATCACTCAATTGGACAGTGACTATACAAATAATAACAATGTTTCTTCATAACCTACATGTATGATTCTTACTCGTGTTTGTGTCATCTCAGCGGCAAGTATTTTTATCATCTGTCTTCTGGTGGCATCTTTCAGAGATTTAGTTTTTGCATACTCTTGCATGATGTGTTCACCACCAGGCTTTGTTGTTAGGATTTTTTCAATCAACTTAAAAGAGAAATCAAATATGCAGTCAGAAATGTTTAAACCATTTGTAAGACTGAAAATTGATTACATAAAAACACTTCCCATCAAATGGAACAAAGTTCGGATTAGACTTAACAACAGTGTCCACTACCCACCGCTTTTGCCTCATAGTTTATGTGGCATGGCCTTTTAGGTTGACTTCCTTCCACAGCGGCTGCTTCTGCGGGAGGGTCACACATCGTGAAGTTCAGAATGATAGTATCGTCAGATGCTGTTGAGCATGATGATGATGATGACAGAGAAGCATCTGTGCATTAAGGAATATAAACAAAACAGAAGCATATTAAATGGAACTGTTAATGCTCCCATCCCAAATTTTACTTTAAGTTTAATATGAACACAATTGTGAATTGTCAGTAATTACCATGTTCTTCATTGCCCAACATGACTCGGAAGGTTCCGGGTGACTCCTTCACTATTTCTTCAAAAACCTCTGCGTCAACTTCTGTGTCAGACTGGTCATACTTCATATCTAGCTGCCTATCTTCTGGTATGTTAAATTTTAGGCACACTGAAGTAAAAGGAAAAGAATATTACAGAAATTGTTACAAAATTTGAAAGACCATTTCCTAAACTAAACTAAATGAAGTAAGCCTCATTTCTTCACAAAATGCTGTTACGTTGAAGCTGAAGTCAATGGGTAATTTACATCCATTTTAAACAGTAGAAACAATGCTCAACTTAGGTAGTTCGGAAGGAATGGTTTTCATGATGAATTAGGTGCATTAACCAAGCAAAAAGTTGTGGTATTGTTTTGTCCTGATGTACCAACTAACCCTCTTTCACGAAGGCATTGAATGTTAGCTCAGACAGCCTAACATACTTCTGTTCCCTGCCAAACAAAACACGCAGCAGCATATTCTGTTAAACAAAGAGAAAAAATAACAACCAAGAATTAATAGAGAAAATGAAATAAAGAAATACCTAATTTGCCTATCTAATTTTGACAGATTATACACTCTTATTATGCCCCCACATACACAGACTCTGGTCCGTCACTCTCTCCACGTCTCAGTCTCAAACTGTAGCAGCTAGCAGTACCACTGAAAGAAGTTAGAAAATAGTTTTAAAGCACGACTCGCGTTTCGGATTTTTTTTTTCATCCGAGACTCCGTTTTCACAGCTGGTTCAGTCGCGTGTGCACAGTGTTCGTCAGTGCCAGCTGATCTTACCTGGTCGCGCTGTTAAAATGTACACTGAAACTGTGCCTCTGTGTTTAGAGTGCAGACCTCTTAATACTTCCACGGTGCAGACTATGAGGAGAGGGAGATTGTTCAGGAAAGGAAAATAGATATATACTTATAATGTGATTGATATGAGGCTTTACTGACACATAACACAATGGGAAACACTGGCTCTATAAACGTCTCATCCTCCCTCCAGCTGCTGTGGTAGCATCACAAGAGACTTACTTCGTTACAGCGGGATACAAAGTTCTGCTCCACCACTCATTGTCTCACGGTGCATAAACACCGCTTTACAACTTTACAACTGACGTTACTGGTATTCATCAGGGAGAGCAAGCACCGATAGCTGGTGTGCACGGCACTGTAAAAAACAAAAAAACAAATCACCACTTGTAATTTTAGGCACCACATCGGCCACTTAAAAAACGGGCAAGCCATAAGTTACTAGTGTCAGTAACTTAAGAGCATTGCGTCCACACAGAGGGGCAACCACAGCAATTGCCGCTAGGCCATCGGTAATATAATTAATGTGCTTCAAGCTATTAGCGATTAGCTTTGCTGGCGATTAGCATTTTAATAAACAATAATTACCTTTATATAATTTTACAATACAAGAGGCAGCACATATTCATACCTCATCAGCATTCAGAAAAAATATGTAACGTTAGTTAACATGTTACATAGGTGCATCTTAACTTCTGAACTGCTAGCAATATGTTAGCATAGAGCCTAGCCACTCGACAATATCAAACAGAAGGGTACATGTCGCCAACATGTCCTCAATCGACATCTATGAAACTATGAAACGGTGTTGAGTTGGATAACAATTATTTAACGATATTGCAAACATGGGAATGTTAACTTTACTTACCCAACTGTGACTACACTCCAAGAAAACCAGCACAGCATCGGATCCCTCATGCACACCGGAGGCGCGCGTAATCATCACTCTGTAGAGTTGAATTTTTCACTGCAAGTCTTCTGAATTTTACACTGACTTATAACTCTACTCTTGGAGTCAGTTTACTCTCCATATAGTTGTAAATACTCTGTGTAGGTTAAAATAGGTTGACGCTGAAATATTGACACCCTATTTTTTACTGTGTATCTATTTTATCCTGGGCAAGGATGAAAATATCTTATTTTCCTTTATTGCATCTCAATTAACTCTTTAATGGAAAAATAAATAGGTTTATTTAGCCAGTTCATTTAGGTTGATTCATATTCCTTAGCTTCTGACCTTTCAAAGGAGACCAGAATTATGCATCAAGGCCGAATGTTTGAGGACTTATTACTGAGTCATCTTTGGCATGTTATTTTAGGCGTTTTTCCTGGAAATAGGTGTCTGTTTCCAAGATTATTCATCTTATATAAATGAAGCCAGTTCATCCTCTGTCTGAAAGACACTGTTAGCTCCTGTCTCCTTAAAGGATAAGTTTTGGGATTTTTAAACCTGGGTCCGTTTTACGTATTTTGGTGCTGAAATGAGTAGTAGGTAGCACAAGTTTTGGATTTGTAGTGATCACAACACGTCTCCAACATTCACAGGCCCACTGCAGCGGGGGGTTAGAAAAGCCTCTCTGAGACTTTAGATCCTACTAGACTAACTCCCCTTTTTCCTTTGCCAGTTGTGGAGACTTGCCAGGTAAGTAAATAACTTTTCACCTCTGAAAAGATGGTCTTATCAGAACAATGAAGTCACAAACAATTGCTTGATTGCTTTAGCAAAGTGAAGAGACTGGACACACACCTACACACACACACACACACACACACACACACACACACACACACACACACACACACACACACACACACAAAGATTTCCTCTCAGCCTGATGTGGTCAAAGATAAGATACCAGATGTCATAAAAGATGGAGGGAATTTAACTGCTGGAATTTAACTGTCCTTATTTTTAAGCCAGATCTGATTTAAGGATAATCAGCTGTCTGATCAATACGTAATCCTGCTAACCTTTCTCAACACAGGTTGTCTTGATGTTTAACACAATTTTTATTTTTGTAGGACATGAAATGAATAAGTTATTATTTAAAGAATGAACCCCTTGGGTACCATGTAACTGTCATCTACTGACCAATGGACAGAGGTCTCTGTAACCATTACCATTGTGAATCTGCATAATATTGCTAACTATTATGCTGTATTATAAGGAGAAAAACAGTGTTATTCAACACTAACTAAAACTTGATTTTTACAACCTGGCTTTGAGATCAGAGAGTGTCATTATATGTACCTGGCTACTGGGTGAAATGTTCAACCCACCTGTGGCATTTTGTGTTTCCAAGATTTAAAGTTTAAGCTGCACAAACACTTTTAAGCAGAGAAGAGTGTAAAATGATCCAAATAAAGAGAACTTAGACTCACTATGATCTGAACACCCCCATTGTCAGCAAGTCTGACTCGGTAACCTGAAAGTGGATCATAGTTTATGGAGTTTCTAGATGGACAGATATCTTTTAAGTAACCGCTACCCGGACTGGGCAGAGTCAGCAAAAGGGAGTTCTGTTTACACCGCTGGTACAAGAGCTTTGGACAGCCGGGAGGAAGAGGTTAGTCTACTAAGAAAGTCTTTAGTCTGGGGCAGCCCTGCTAGCTGGCATATTGTTGCGTTCCTTGGCGCATTAACACCACTTGTAGGTCAGTGGAATAACATGAAACCTAGGGCAGGAAAGTGTATTATGTCACCTTGCACATGCACTAAAACAGTGATGCCATGTATTATTATAATTTTTTTTAAATTTCACTTCCATAAGAGAGGCAAGAGTAGTTAATTAGTTTAAACATCATCATGAACCAGATTTTATACAGGCAGAACCCCCCTATTAGGTGTGCTAATTACAGTAAAAAAGGAGGAAAGCAACTTATTTATTTTTTCAACCATGTTAGGGTGTTGCAAAAGGGGACGTTATCCTGGTTTGGTGAGTTGCACACATAACAAACCCATGCTTGATTAAAATTAATGGTAGACATCTGAAACATTGATACTTATTTCAGAATGTTCTGCCTCATAGTGTTCACGTGTCTTTTCTTTCATAATTGACATTCATTTATGATATTAATTAGGTGAAACTTAGTAGCTGTGTGCTAAATTTTGAAAAAAGTAAAAAGATCTTTACATTTCTAGCACAATATCTTTGAGGCATTGCAATGTTGAAGACAAAGACTCTAGACTTTATATTAATATGATCTGATTTTTACATATTACTTGTTATTTACTAACCACTACATATTTTTACTCAACAGGGGGAAGGCTGCTCGACAAGGGTAAAGGCATTAGTATTTCGGAAAGATCAGCATGCCAATAAAGTCTTTCTGCATTTCAATTAGGGCCGGATCATTAATGAGTCATCTGAAATGGCGCACTCTGAATGAACAACTCCTTTTTAAAATGTGGCATCGGCTGCCTTTGAGGCCAGTGTGCTAATAGAAAAGTTAATTACATCAGAAGTATTCATGTTAATGTATGTACTTTGACAGAAGCAATATAATAAAAGGTTAGAGGAGTGTGTTCCAGTCCCCTGATACCAGACACATTTAATTGCTTTGTCTTGGGTTCCACAGTCAGTCATCTTGACAATGGTGTAGTTGTATATTAATCATGAATGGCTTGTTAAGCTTTGTTAAATAAAAAAAGAGTATTTTTGATGGGATTCATTTTGTGATGACTAGCATTATTATATGCATATATGTACAGAGTTGACGTTTAGGCTTTAGGCTGTCACCTGCAAACATAAAACCTAAAAATGATCACACAGTGCAAGGAGTGATGATAACTTCTCCCCACCTGCCACACCCAAAGGAATCAAAGCCCGTAGCTGGATGGTGCGATAGTGGAATTAACAGAGTAAGTAACAGATGGAATTTGTTGGGCTACTTGTGAGATGATTGGCAATTAGTTGTCTCTCTATTTTGCACAAACACTGTCTCCATACTTATTCACTTAGTATTGCTAAGTATGTGTAGTGTTAAGGGCTCAACCATATTTACTAACCACTACTCTACAATAGTATAAGGCAATAATTCTGAAATTATGGTATATGAGATATGGTAACATGCAAAACCATCCTCATTTTCATTAGCAAGGACCCCCCACCACAACAATGTGTGATTTAGAGGTACATGGAAATATGGAATGCATGGATTATGGAGGATGGATTAATGCATATAGAGGGGAAGGGTGATGGTGGAAGAAGGATGTCGTCTGATAGGCTGTTCTGAGAGGGTGTACGGAAGACCGAGCAGAGAGACTCAGTGTGGGGGTTCCATCTCAGAAGTGTTTTTGCCCAAGCTTATTTCAAGCCCCCAAAAGAGTCAGATTAAGGTCGGGTTCAAGTTCTTCGAGCTTGGGTTATAGCGAAGGAACGGACTTGGAACATGAAGTCCTGAGAGGAGAATGACCGATGAAAGGTGATGTGATGCTTTGAAGCAGTTAGGTATGTTGAGAGCTTTGCAGCTTTGGCAATATTGTTGTTTTACATTCATACCAATAAAGCTGATTGAATTGAATAAAGTTGAGAGGACCTTGGGCAGATGCTGTAGAGGATGGCTTCTTGTGACGTGTTAAAGAAGTTTCTTAGCTGCAGCGCTGGTAGAATGACGTGGCTGAAATGGTAAGACTGGTATGGGATGAAGATATGATGCTGTGGCCCGGTGTCTGAAATGAATAAGAGACGAGACGATGGTTTATTAATGGTGCTGTGGTGGCAGGAATGTGAGCTGCCCTGAGGAAGAACTGAAGTATAGCGATATTCGCGAAGGAGTGAGGTTCTGACAGAGGAATGGGATGGATCTTGTGGAATCTCTACGACTGTAGTGTTATCTGGGTGGATGAGAGTTGACTCGCTAGACCCATAAAACCCCCGAAGATGGCGGCTATGACGACGAGGTAAGTTCGTGAGTGCTGACGAAGTAAGCTGGACTCGGTGTCTAGAAGTTTACCTCTAGAGATCGTGGCATGGGTGAGGAGTGTCTGGAAGGACTGCGACACTGAAATGAATATACCAAGGTGCAGTGCTGGTCGGTCTGCTGGTGTGATTGAATAGTGCTGCTACGCAGAAGGAGCAGACATGCAGAGCCTGCAGTGCAAGAGTGCGGCCCGGTGTTTGAATTAATGCAGACCATCGTGCCCGCTTGATGAAGACTGGCCTGCCCTGTTTGTCAATTCCCTGTAGCGTGGGGACATTAACAGAAGGATGTGAGTCTGCGGGCCTAGGGATGATGTGAGATGGGGGCGTGGTGGATGAGAAATGGTGAACAGTGGAGTGTTTCGTGAGGAAAAAAGTGGGTTTGAGTGGGGTAGTGGAGCACTGACTATGCATGCTGAGGCTGGTTGAAGGGCTCCAATGACCTGCAGAGAGGGATGTACGAGCTGAATAGGTGCAACCGTAGATTTAAAAGAGTTGAGAGCGCTCCAGTATGAACCCGAGTTAAATTGCTGGGTATGGCCAGCTGCCTGATTAGTGAAGTGTACGTGGTAGCTGTAACTTCTCTTTGTTCTTCTCTAAGATTGTTGTGAATAAGCGGTATGCCTGGGATGACCGGCGGCTGACTACCTGAATGGTTTGATCAGAGATACCAAGTCTGGCTGCTGTGAAGCTGTGCCGATGCGGCAAGATGGCTTGAATAATGTTCAGGCGATATGCCTAAAATGCAGATGATTCTGTTCCATGTTTATGGAACCAGAATCGAGTGACAATTTCCTGTTTCTGTAAGAAAAGTAGGTGTTATGGTGATGCCTTGTGGCGTACCTGGAGCCGATGCGTTTGATTCGTGGCTCGTAGGAGCTGAGTTGAGGCGGAAGGAGACTCCTAGCTGATCTGTTTACTTCTTCCAAGTGTGAATATAAGAGAGATGGAGGCACCAGCGGATTGGCCGCCCGGAGGGTCAGGATTTACTGGTGGCCTGAGGGCTGTTTGGCCTGACGTTTATTATCCACTTGACCAGCAACAGCGATAATATAGTAAAATTAGTAATTAATTAATAATTAATTAAGCTAGTACATAGGATGCGAATGTGGCCATATGTTTTAGCGTTTGTGTGTGTGTGTAAGCTTGTTCGGACGAGAAACACCCCCCTCCTGTGTAGCTAGCTACGCGTTAGAGGCTGAGAAGGTCTGAAGTGAATGGTAAGCGTCTGGCACGGAGACCGGTGACTAACTGGATGAAGTAATACCTGCTAGTATAGTATATATGGTAGAGAACAAGATAAATTAATTGATTTTATTTATTTATTTAAATAGTTATTATCATTATTTTTATCATTATATTATTAATTTATTTCGGATGCGCGTAGGAGATAAAATTGCGGATAGACATCCAGAGAGGGAACTGACGGCTGATGTGTGGCGTGATATGCCTCAAAGCAATTCCAGCCAGTAAAGTTGGCTGAGAGAGTGCTTGGGGCGAAACTGTAGAGAAGGTTGCTTGTGAGGTGTTGGAGAGGTTCGCGACTGTGAAGTTAGTTGAATGTGTGGCTGAAAACGGTGGGACAGGTATGGGATGAAAATCCGATTCAAGAGCGAAATGCCTGAATTTTGTAGAGAATGTGCAGAAGTAAAGTGAGAGAAACAGGTGAAGGTCAAGGATTGATAGAACTGGCTGGGTGGCTGGTGCTGCCGTGGCCAGAGAAACTGCTATAGAAGGAGTAAGTCTTTGAGACAAAGAGCAAAAAAAAAAACAAAAAAAACATTTGGTTGTTGGGGGAGGGAGGGGGAAGGGATGGGGGTGGAGGGTTGGGGTAAGGACAGACCAGTTGGAAATGAAGGAGAAAGCTGAGGATCGCCAAGAGAGAGGAGCGGAAGCCGTATTGCTGTAAACAGTGGAAGGAAGGGTAGAGGAAGGGATGATGGGATGAAAGGATGTGTGTGCACGGGAGGTGAGTGCAGCCTGCAAACACAGGGATGAAAAGAAGGCAGAAATTGCCTGAGAGACACGGAGGGAGCAGGCACATGGGGAAGTATAACCTGATCCCCGCCAGGGGGAGCTGGAGATGTGAGCTGTGGCCATTGAGGCCCTGTGACGTCATGCGTGATGCCACTGGCTGTGGCCGACCCTGGGGGAGAACCAGAAGCGCACAAGGCTTGGTGTTTGTTCTTGGCTGAGTGTTGCTGGAGGCTATGTTGCGGTTGGAGGGAATGCCTTTCCCTCTGAGGAATCGTGTCGAGCTCTGTCAATCCATGATTGTGATCGTGCTGTTAAGCGTGTGCTGTTGAGCGTGGATCATTGTCTGTCTTGCATTGAGCGATCTGAAACAAGTGGGGCAGGCTGAGCGGTATATGTAGCCTCGACAGTTTATTGGAGGTGTGGTTGAAGCGAGGCCCCGCTCTCGAACCTAAGTTAACAAATTAAATTCAAAACAAATTTAAATTCAAAACAAAACAATCTGGTCTTAAAAATGATGACAGAATATATCATGTGACCATTTGTCACATGATACTACTATACTACTGCACACTGTTCTGGACTTTTGTATTAAAGATACCTACAGCAAGGACTGAATGTGTTGTGAACGTAACCTTATAACTTAGATTAAATGCTATATTTTAGGTCTTGGAAGATTCTCACGCATCACAATACTATTATATTGGCTAGATTTGATCCGGGGACATTGTGGTATGCGTCTCAGACCACTGGGCCAACATGACACCACCACACACACTAAAATGAGTTGGATGAAATGTTTAAGATTGTGTGCAAATCATGTCAAAGTCACATACTTTGAGGTGCTGTAAAAATCACAGTAGTGGACTAGTAAGTGCTAAATATAATTGTTTAGCTTCTTGCCATGATTTTCAGGGTTTTAATTATATATTCTTACAATCAGTTTTAAATTGAATTTTAATTTATGTAATGTTTCAAGATTTGCATGAGGTTACAGAAGGTGTGGTGAAAGTCCAATTAAGAGTAAAAATTAAGTTCTTTCAAAAACTGGAATATTAGGTTTTCAATAGTGTGTTTTTGTTTGTCTGAAGACACGTAAAAATATTGGGGCAAGTGGTTTATTTCCAAAAGAAACATGTTGATAGGAAATGTGTGTAAACAGCATTCAAAAACAAAGATGAAAGAGCACTTTCTAAAAGAAGAGGGATTGTGCAGCTGCAGGCATAGCAGGGAGAAGTCCCTGCCCACGGCCCTACCAACCGAAGATTCTCTGGTATTAAAGGGTGAACTTCAAGGCTCCCAGCCGATGATTGGGCACCTCGCCTAAAGGCACTGGCAATGCCATCGGTGTAAGAAAGAGCAATGCCCATAGGCCTCAAACCAACCTGTGCATACTCTGGAGATTCAACATGGCAGATGGATTGGGCAAAGTGGTCTCACCTTATTAAAACGAATGTAACAATATCCACTGTTTAATTGTGTTCCTTTATTCTATAATAAATGTAAAGTGATGTTCTTTTTTATTCTATTTTATCTTTTTATTGTGAGAAACCGGTAACACACTTTCATATTGAATCCAGTATATATCAATAACTCTACTCAACTCTTCAACAATGTCAGATCCACACCAACAATGAATCCATTACGTCAGGAGTGGATTGGATCACGGTAAACATGAATTTATCCTGAGTCACTGAGTATCCAGTGTAAAACTCCAGTAACCCCAAGCTTGGATGTGAGTAGTTGGTTGGTAGGTGTTACTGGCTGTT